CCACCCGATTTCCTTTCACCTGGCTAAATTCCCCATTTGGCACTGGGCTCCCCTCTGATTTGCCTTCCCCTCTCTTCTCAGCCTGTTCAAGCCCTCCTTGTCCTTCAAGACCTTGCCCAGGTCTCTCCTCGAGGCCCTTGCTCCTGCTGCAGCCCCTTCTGGAGGGCTTGCCCCCTTGCTCCCCACTCCACATTTTCTCTTCCTTCAAGATGCAACTCAGAGTCTTTCCCAGAAGGTTTCCCTGAGTGTCTCTGAGCCCAACCAGACCACCTGTGCCCCTCCATCTACATCCTTCCTTCCTCCTTTCCTGCCTTCTTTCTTTCTCCACTGTGGCTGCCTTGGGTGGCTGTAACAGTTAGAATGCAGGTTTGCCAACTTTAACAAAACTCTTAAATAACAGTGGCTCAAATCAGAAGAAAGTTGGTTTCTCTAGTAATATTCCAGTATAAGCCGGCCAGGCAATACGGGACTCCTTGGTATTGAGACCCAGGACCCCTTGATCTTGTTGTTACCAGGTCCATATCCCAGGCAGAAAGACCAGGGAAAGACGTAGTGAAAGGGAGAATGACACTTCCCTTCAAGGTCACAGCTGGGAATTTGTCCACATCACCTCTAATTGCTGGAATGTGGTCACATGGTCACACCTAGCTGCAAGGAAGGCTGGGAAATGTAGTCTTTATTCTAGCAAGGTGTGCCCAGCTAAAATCTGTCACTGGAGAATCAGAGAGTAAACATTGGTAGATAACCAGTGATCTCCACCTCTGTGGCATAGAGACAGTTTCTTACTTGTTCCGTGGGACACCTGAATTCAATTCCCAGATGAAATGGCATCTCTTTATACCTCCACCTCCACTAGGGCAGCATAATGGAGGGCAGTAGTTCTCAAGAAGAGAATACTTTGCCCTCCAGGGGGTATGTGGCAATGTCTAGAGACATTTTTGATTGTCACAACTTGGGGGGTACTATTGTCATCTAGTGGGTAGAGGTCAGGGATGCTGCTAATTATCCTATAATGCACAGGGCAGACCCCACAACGGAGAGTTATCTGGCCCAATGTATCCGTAGTACCGAAGTTGAGAAACCCTGGTGTAGGGGAAAGCATGCATTCCTTGGAGTCAGACATGCCCGATTTCTAATCCTGAAGCCCCCACTCCCTCCCTGACCACCATTAGTAACAAACTGTACCTCTTGGAACGTCGAGGACAATCACGTGGACTCTCTGCACTGTATAAGAAGCAATTCAATTCAACATCCACTGAGGGCTTACTATGTGCTATGTGCTCTGTGTACACTCAGTGCATGCAAACTCCCTTTCCTCTTTCCACACAAACATTTATTAGCACCTATTAGGTAGGGAAGTGGATTAGTCTGGATGTTTTTCATCATAACAAACAGAAAAGCAGCTGGAATAATACTAAGTCTAACGGGCCATTAATTTAGTCTGAGTGTTTTGTGCCAGTTTCAGCATATCGATAACCAGTGTTGTGGTTGAACTGGCCCTTGTGGTTGGTATTATGAGTGCAAGATGCCCTTCAGTGATACCCATCAGGGAACTTTGAAGAAACAGAGGCTTATTACTTTACAAGACCTGGAATTTACACAGCATTCCTGGGGCCACACAGTGAGGTCACAGGGAAAG